TTTCCAGAGGCTGTAAATCACAAGGAGCAGAATGCTCATCTTTCTTCTTCATTGCAGCTGGTGGGTTTGAACCATTTATCTTTGCGTCGGCAACATAACTCCTTACTAGGCTTCCAGGTATTTTAAATTGACAACTCAGAATTCATCAGAATTGTCATACTATCACTATTATGAATGGTGCCATTTCTCAGCGTGGTATCTACAGTTGGAAAACAAAAGCTACAGTTGGGAATCAGGATATGAATCATGGCCTCAATACTCAAGCATATTTGTAAATAGATATCCCAGATGTGATACAAAAATTAGGAATTGCCTCAATACTCAATCAATATTTGTAAATAGATAGCCAAAATGGGATACAAAATAATGGTAGATTTGACCCTAAAGTTTCATTCTGGTTAACTGTACAACATCTATTTACCAACCTACAAAAATAGAACAGATGTTGTTTAGCCTACAAATGATAATACCTGTTTTGCACATTTTTATGAGCTTGTTCAGCCTCTCGCTTTCATTCTAGCAGAAAACTGAAGCAATCAACGAAAGTAGCAAAGATAGACTGTAGCTCTGTCACTCAAAAACAAGAATGAGAAAATGAGAGAGGGGTGTGTGCAATCTCACACAGTTACATCCTCTATTTTTTAAAACACACACACACACACACACACACACACACACACACACATCTTTAAGGTTTGGGTTTTTTTTTTGTTGTTGTTGTTGTTTTTGGGGGGTGGGGAGAAGGGAGTGAGAATATTATAAAAATATTTTAGTCCGTAAGGGAACAGATTTCTCTGTTCTGCCATTCAGGTACTTTGGGTTAAACATTATTGTTGAGCCTGAGGCCCTGTGGGCCTCAGGCTAAGAAAAGAGCATAAATATACGTGTCCTTCACAAAACATTGCCATACTCAAGACCACTATTTAGTTACAATAACTTAACATTGACTAAGAAAAGACTCACATAATGTCAAGAAAGTATCAGTCTGCCTCAGTCATCATGAATAAACAAAATAACCCTTCTCCTAAAAAAACCAGACTCAATGAATATCCCACATAGAGAGAACCAGAAGAAATATGTTGATGTGGAGTTATTTGAATAGCTACAGGAGAAGATGCAAATGACAGAAGAAACAATAGAAGGCATTAAGAGAACAAACCCCAGAGACAGCAATGCAGAAGAACTATATTGATGTGGAGCAACTTGAACAGCTATGGAAGAAAATACAAAAGAAATAATTGATAGTATAGATAAAAATAGATACAAACACTTAAAAAGTCATCACAAGACAGAGTGGGTATAGGCAACATAGTATTGGAAATAACAGAAAAGAATGAAAATGCAATCTAGAGTATTAATACTGAATTCACGGAAGTGTCCATCATGCTAGTGGGACAAAAAAGTAGAACTGAAGAGATGAAAACAGAGTTAGTGAGCTGGAAGACAAGAGCCTCACGAGAAACATTGTTGTTGTCATGTGCCATCGAGTCGCTTGCACCTCATAGTGACCCTATGTACAACAGCCCTAAACTCGGCTCTGTCCTGTGCCAATCTCACTGTCTCTGACACTCCCATTCCGATTATCCCAGTCACTGAATCAATCCACCTAATAGAGGGCCTTCCCCTCCTGTGTTGTCCCTCCACTCTACTCAGCATGATGTCCTTCTCTAAAGACCTGTCTCTCCTTAGAACATGTCCAAAGTATGTCAGACGAAGCCCCAGAATCCTTGCCTCCAAGGAGCACTCTGGTTTAACCCTCTCTAGGACGAATCTGTTTGTTTTCTTGGCAGTCCATGGTACAGTCAATACTCTTGTCCAACACCACAGCTCAAAGGCATCAATTCTCCTATCCAACTCCCTGATGCATAACAAGCGATAGCAAAGACCATGGCCTGTATCAGACGCACCTTAGTCTCCAGAGAGACACCACTGCTCTTCAGTACTTTGGAGACGTCCCTAACAGCAGACTTTCCCATGGCAATGTGCCTTTTATTTTCCTGGCTACTGGTGCCAAGAGTGTTGACTGTGGAGCCAAGCAAACTAAAGCTGTGAACAATCTCAATCTCTTCACCATCCATCCTGATGCTGCCAACTGGTCCAGTGGTAAGAATCTTTGTCTTCTTGGCATTGAGCCTCAATCCATATTGGAGGTTGCAGTCCTTGCTGCAGCAGATGCTTCAGGTCCTCCTCAGTTTCAGCAAGCATGGTTGTGTTATCTGCATAATGCAGATTGTTGATAAATCGCCCACCAATCTTGACCCCACATTTCTCCTCATAGAGCCCAGCCTCCCGGATAATCTGTTCTGCAAACAGGTTGGAAAGGTATGGAGATAGGATGCATCCCTGGCGTATGCCCTTCCCAATTTTGAACCATGCAGTGTTCCCTTGTTCTGTTCTGACGACTGCCTCCTGGTCCAAGTATAGGTTTCGATGACTTATTCATAGCAAATACATTTTTTAAGGGACATAAATGCAGGTTATATACTTGGATCTCACCTGATGGTATGCATAGGAATCAGATCGATTACATCTGTGGAAAGAACCACTGGAGAAGCGCAATATCAGCTGTGAAAACTAGGCCAGGAGCTGATTGTGGAACAGACCACAAACTACTCTTATGCAAGTTTAAGCTGAAGTTGAGGAAAATTAAACCAAATCCAAGGCAACCAAAGTATGACTTTGAGTCTATCCCACCTGAATTTCAGAACCTTCTCAGGAACAGGTTTGAGGCCCTGAACACTAATGAGTGAAGACCAGGTGAGTTGTAGGAGGATACCAAGGGTATCATCCAGGAAGAGTGCAAACGGTTATTGCAAAGACAGAAGAGGAAGAAAAGACCAAAATTGATGTCAGAAGAGACTCTGAAAAGTGCACTGGAACACAGAGAAAATTGTAAGAGAAACATACTAGAAGAAAAATCAAAGATGAGATGTAAAGAAAATGAAGAAAACATTAGAATCATGTGGGATGACATCAAAAGGAACACCATATATATGATTGGAATTCCAGAACATGGGAATAACAGGGAAATCACTGAAAAAAATTTAGAAGTACTAGATGAAAATTTTCCAGGTATTTGTAAGTATCCACATTCAAGAAGCACAGTAAACACCAAATAGACTAGACCACCCCCCCCAAAAAACCTTCAAGACATAACATAGCCAAATTATCCAAATTAAAATGTAAGGATTATAGTTGTTGTTGTTGTTGTTGTTGTTAAGTGCCATCAAGTCCCAGGTGTCTCATACCGACCCTATGAAAGAGAGTCCTCCATGCTTGGGTGTCTTTCATCCTTTCTCCAGGTTCACAGGGTTTCTGGAGGCAAGATATTATGGAAATGGATTCCAGTCCTCCTTCCAAAAAAATATAAGGGTAGACTACTAAATGCAGCATGAGAAAAACAAAGAGTCACTTATAAAGAGGAAACAATGAAGATAAAGTTCTGATTTCTCAGCAGAGACCATGTGAGCTAGAAGACAATGGATGGCATATACAGAAAGTGGAAAGAAAACAACTGCCAGTCAAGGATCCTATATCCAGCAAATCTCTTCATCAAATATGGAAGAGAAATTAGTTCCTTTGCAGAAAAAAAGGAACTTAAGGAATTTGTGAAAACAAGACCAGAACTACAAGAAATTTTATGTGAAATCTTTCACATGAAGATACCAAAGGAAAGCAGATGGACCATAGTAACCAGAAACAATAGAAAAGGAAAACCAGCAAAAAAAATAAAAGCAAAACCTGGACCAACAATAATCACACTTAAGGTAAATGGACTAAATCTGTCAATTAAGAAAAAAAAGAGTAGCAGAAAGAATAAAAATACAAAGCCCAATAATTTGTTGCCCACAAGAGACACATCTTAAAAAAAAAAAAAAAAAAAAAGTGAGAGGAAGACAGACTCAACCAAAGGCTGGAAAAAAATTATACCAAGCAGATGGCAAACAAAATAAAAGGAGTGGCAATACTAATCTCTGATAAAATAGATTTCAGAAAGAAAAGCACCATAAAAGATAAGAAAGGTCATTACATACTGATTAAAGGCACACTAGATCAAGAGGATACAGCCTTAGTCAACATTATGCACCAAATGAAAGACCTGCAAAATAAATAAAACAACAAACAAAACTGAAGAAAAAAAATAGCACCACAATAGTGGTAGGAGACTTTAACACACCACTATCACCAAAGGGTATGTCAATTCCAAAGAAAAAGGAGAGAGATGGGCAATCTCCTTCCATTAAGATTTACAGTCACAGAAAACTGATGGAAGGTCCCTAAGGAATCGACTTGATAGCAGTGGTTAGACTTCCTTCTATCTTTGTTAAACTTCACAGAACTTCTGTTATGTAGTGAAAATATACAGAATAGCATTTAAAGTGATATTAATTAACTTTGACTTAATAATTATTTGCCTTTCACTTAATATTCTACAATCATCCAACACTGAGTTAGGGAATGACTGTTGGAATTAAACAACATGAAATGAGAAAAACAGCATTGGTAATATTTGGAAAAATCTGCCTCAACTAAGACCGAACTTCTGTAGCTTATCAGGGAGATATGGGCCTAGAATCTGGATCTCCTGATCTCTTTCTACTTTGAGAACCAGAGTTGCAACACTTCACACTCATATTCAATAGTGTACAATGCAAAGCAATATTCTCTCAAAGGAACCAGTTTAATTATAATTACTTGGAAGATTAAAAATGAGTCCTATTTAGAAATTTCATTGTATACTTACTCATTTATTCAATTATTCAGTACTTTGTATTTTAATAATAGTGAAAAAAATCTACCTGGCTACAGGGTGAATTGATGATGTAGAATTGGCAGTAATGAATGTCGAGGTGCCTGCCATGTGGGCTGTCATGGTTAATGTTGCATGTCAACATAGCTGGACCACGATTCTCAGTGGTTTTCACATGACAACTTGATCTTTCACAATGTTGAGTAAGTGAGAAGTGGGCGTATATTTTTATAGGAATTAAGTGGCATACCTTCCCCATGCTGCCTCATTTGTCGATGCTTTATTAACCGGAACACAAGAGGAGTCGATAACAGTTGATTTGTTCATCTTGTAGCAGAAACCACAGTTAGGATCCAACATACATTCATTACAGTAACTGGAAGACACAAAAAAAGAATTATATTAATTTTGATAGGGACAATTGTTGCTTACCACCTATTTTAACTCACATGCTTCCTGAGCTTTTCTTTATTACTTGCTCCAAGACTGAAACCATGGTGTGTCTGTGCTAAAGCTGAGGAGGGCTGGCTGGCCTCTTTCACTCCCTACTTGCCTGCAGCTTACCTGGAAGCCAGGCTGAGATGAAGGATGCTTGGATGAGAGACTCTGAACATAGAAAAGACCCAGGTGACCTACATCAAATAAATTTTTGCTGTCCTAAAGCACAGAAGTTTAAGGAACTCTGATGTCTTGGTGGTAAGAAATTACATTACCAACACAGAGGTAAGCAGTTCAAACCCACCAGCTGTTCCTTGGGAGAAAAATGGGCAATCTCTTCCCATGCATTTTACTGCCTCTCAAAACCTGCTGTGAACTTATCTATGGGTCTGTTCCAACTTGACTGCATGAAACAACAAAACTACAGAGGTTTGCTACTAAACCTTCCTGACCATCTCCCTCATTCCAAGTCATACAAAGCATTTACTTATTTTTTCTTTTGTGCATCATGCATTTTAAAAATTATAAAGCATTTATTTACCCATGATATATTTATATACTAAAAGAGAAGTCAAATTTTTTTTCAAGAAAAGTCATCTATACTGTTGACCATTGTAAAAGGGATCAAAACAGAAGGAGAGAAATAGTGAAGCAGGAGAGAAACGGGGGAAAATATTGAAAGAATAAAAATGTTGGTTTTGCTGGTCACAACCATGTAACTATTGCCCTTAGTCACCCTCAGAGCTTGGAACTAACATGCACTCCTGTAGCTCAACTTTCAGCCAGACAACAGACATGCCTATATGATGAACAATAATACCAGGGAGATATTCACACTTTGAAGAATCAATTATACAAGATCAAATGGCAGTATGTGCCCAGGGATAAAGCTCAGAAAACAGGAAGTGGTAGGAGAGAAAGATTAATGGAAACGTGAATGCCAGGACAGAAGCAAAAAGTGCTGTTACATTGTGGGTATTGTAATTAATGTCACAAAACCAAAAACTACATGAATGGTTCCAAGGAAAACCAATTTGCTCTGGAAACTTTCAAACTTTCCCTCAAGTCACAATTTGAAAAAAGAAATCTCTAAAGAAGTAAGTTTAAAAATTTCTAACTACACAGCAAGTCATGGAAAGTACGAGTGCCTGTTAGGTGTAACTGTGTCTCTGTTTTAATAAGCTCCTCAGCCTGGAGGTCGTGTTGCATCACAGTCATAAACTGGCTGCAGATTCCTGTTGGCTCCTCCTGAATTCTCAGCCCTTTGGTTCATGGGCCTCTGTCCCTACTGCCCTCGGAGTCAGTCACCTGTTTTTGTGGGCACGTTCCGAAGTTTAAATGCTTTTTTTTTTTACTTTTGGCCAAAATTTAGAAGATGCTATGAATATAATTTTGAACTTGTGTAAATATATGAAAGAGAAAACCTTAAAAAAAAATTTCTAACTCCAAAAATGTGCACCGGGTTTTCAAAGGCCTGCTATTTCGGAAGTGGATGGCTAATCCTTCTTCCTAGTCTGTCTTAATTAGATTGCTCAGATTTAGAACATTATCTGACAGACAAGCACTTTATAGAGAAGAGCAGATGAAAGATATTTCCCAGTAGTAGGAAAAAACCCAATAGATTCTGTGAGGTCCCCACCCTTGCCAGTTGTGTTGGGAGGATGGAGGGAGAGCACAGGAGAGGAAGACCTTCAATGAGATGGATTAATTCGGTCACTGGGGTAATGGTGATAGGCGTGTCAGAGACAATGAGATTGGCAAGGGATTGAGCAGGGTTTAGAGCTGTTGTACATAGGGCCGCTATGAGTCACAAGTGACTGGATGGCACATAACAACAAACAACAACAACAACAACTCCAAAAAGGGTCATTGTTGATATCATGGTGCACAGTTGGACTTTTAACAAACATACACATAGAGCTTTCTCTATATATTCCTAATTCTAAAGAGATGGATTTAGGAAGAGGCTAACCTTTTGCTGAGTTAATGACATACACATTTTGGAGAACAGAGTAATAATCAATCACTGGTTACTTGACAGGATTATACAAATTGTTGGGGAAACACTACAGAGATCACAATATTTCGGTTTTCCAACACAAGCCCATATAAAGAGTGTGCTTGTGGAGAGTTGGGCTATGTAGTCACTTCACAGACAACTGGAGAACATTTCATATAAGGTAACCAAAATCATGGCACTGGAGACACTATGATGAACAAGTCAAAGTTCCCAAGCCTTGATAGATACAAGAGCAAGCTGACAAACAGATGCACAAGTGATAGCAATGCTGTAAAAGCAGGTATGAACTACCCTGAGGACAGAGGTCTCTTCATTCCTGTAAGAGTTAGGGATAATTTCAGAGGTGATTCAAGAACTGGATTAAAGCAATTTAGCAGGCACCTGGGTTTGGTTTGAAGGAAGAACTGCTTATTTTATAAAGATCAGTCAGGATAGACATTTTTGGGAGACTGTAAGTCACATAGGAGAAGACGGCCCATCTCTCCCCAGTAGAGCTGCTGGTGGACTGGAACCCCTAGAGAGATGCCATGTTTGGCTTGGCAATGCAGCTCTTTATGAAGTATGCCACCAGAACTCACTGTTTTGTTTTGGGGTGTGTATGTGTGTGTGTGTCTGTGTGTGTGTCTGTGTGTGTCTGTGTGTTTTCTCTGTTATGTACTGTGAAATCGAATCTGACTGGCACAGGAGAAAGGAGGAGAGATCTCTCCCCTCCTCTTCCAGTGGAGCATCTGGTGGGGATTTGAACCATGTGCCTTTGGGATTGTAGCACAGCTTCTTGCCATTAAGCCAGTAGAGCTTCCTGTGTGTGAGTTTTTGTACAACTGAGTTTTGAATGAAGGTTTACAGCAAATGTGGAAGGAAAGAGTAATGCTAAGTCATCAGAAAGAGACAGAACAGTGCAGGCTGTTCCTGTGATAGGAAGTTCTTCCTTATGGACAATTCACACTTGCCTTGTAATGTTATAACAAAACCAAACTCAACCCAGTGGTCCCATAGCACAGAGTAGAAGAGCCCAGGGAGTTTCTAAAGCTGAAAACCTTGAACTCACAGGCTTTTGGTTAACAGCAGAATTTCAACCACTGTACTTCCAGGGGTTCCTTATATCAGTACCTACTTGTAAACTTATAGGGTCTTCACAATAACCTTGCTGCATGTGCAACTTTTAAGCCACTGAAAGTTTTTTAGTCTTTTCTTGCACTAAAGATTCAGTAATAACCATGTGCACTCATCCCAACAAATTCTTAAAGACAGGGACAGATCAGATTCTGCCCTGGGGACTGCCCCTTTTCTGACTCCTCCAAATAAAAATTCCTCTTTGATTCATTTAGCTAAATGTGAAAACACTGGTATTGCTTAAAAATTAGATTTATAATCATTTCAGGCCCTTTCTGTACACATCTCCTTTGACAAATAGCCATTCTTATTTTTTTATTAGACTTCAGTCCTCGACCAAAATCAAAACAAAAGTCCTTTCAAAACTTATTGAAAGGTCAACATACTTTGAAACAGTGATTGGGCAATGCAAATATACAATTGTCTACACCTGTGATAAGCATGCTAAACCAGCATTAGACTAGACATTAGGTTAGAAATAACATGAGCTGCTGGCTCTGAGCAGACTAGGCTCATTTGGAAAGGAAGCAGTTCCTACCAGTATTGTGCTTTCTTTGTTTATTCTGGCCACGAGAGGTCAAATATAATGACCCTACTTATCTGGGAAAGGTCAGCTCAATCATTTGGAGAGAAACATTTTTTTTTCTACTTTATTTTCCTGAAAATATATAGTTCAAAAAAGGGGTAAAAAACCACTCATAATGATAAAGTCTAAGATCTGGTGAAAGTCGACTGCCTTCACATTTCAGACCTATGAGGCATCATCCACAGCAATTTCAAATGCTACATCATGCATTCTGGTATCAATTCTGACGGTAATGCCTACTTCTTCAAGCATGTGTATTAAAGGCACCCTAGATTTTCTACTCAACAAATACAAAT